TTGTGCTTCTTGAAAGGAAATGATAGACAAATATACCAATAAGAAACTTTAAAAATTCCTTTTTAGTCTAGCCTACATATTGCAATCATCTTAACTGTCTGAAAGCAAAGCTTGCTGAAAAGTGCAAGCAGATCTCGTTCCTGGGCAGACCGTGGTTTCCTATTTTCAGTTAGGTCAAGTCCCAACATCTAAGCTGGGCAGTCAAATGGTTTCAAAAGCTGGCTTCTCTTCGCTCATATTTCAAGTCCTGTTTCTTGATATTTCCTTCTCTACCCTACGCTATACATCAGAGGTTAGCGAACTTAAAACCATGGGCCAAATTTGGACTTAGGCTTCTCTGTGAAAGTCAATTTTTACTGGAATACAGCATACTCATTTGTTTATGTATTGTCTGTGGCTGCTCTTGTGCTACAGTAGCAGAGTTCAATAATTGTGAAAGAGACCCTACACTACGTACAAAGCCTCAAGTATTCACTATCTGACACTTTAAAGAAAAACTTTGCTGACACCTGCTATAGATCAGTCTTTTTCAGACATTTTGGGACATGACTCCAAATATATACACTTAAAGATGAGACCTACTATACACAGATACCTATGTGTATATTTATATGTACATATTTCTCAAAATAATATTTACCTTTACTGAATGCAATGCATTTTCATAGTTTCTAGTTTATTTTAAAAAATTTTAAAGCTGTTCATCACATGATACTAATCTCATGACCCCAGGTGAGCTTTGATTTATATTTGGAAAGCACCGCTCTAGACAAAATGAACAATTGGCTACTCATGACACATGTCCCCTGCTCTCCCACCACTATTTCTTTCTTGAAATTGCTCCCTCCATCTGACAAGTCCCTGTCCTTTCATCTCTATGTATACAAATCCTTTTCATTTTTAAAGAACTAGCCCAACCTCCATCTCTCCTATGAATTTGGCTTTGAACTTCCAGTCCCAAAGCATTTTCTCCTTTTCTTATCTCCCAGAGTATTTTGTCTATTAATCTATTGTGGAACTTTAAAGCTTCTGCTTTGTATAATAACCATCCGTGTATCTTTCTTATTATGTATCCTAGAGATCTTCAGTTTCTTAAGGGTATGATTTTAAGCATTTTGTGTTCTATATACCATATAATACAGTGCCTTACATAACATAAGTACTTAGTAAATGTTTATTAAATTGAAATGCAAATATTTATTACTAAGGTATTGTATGATTTACATGTGTAATATTTTATCCTTGAATTTTAAAGACTATAATTATATGATAGATTGTAAGCACTCAATAAATGCTTATAAAGACAAAGGGAAAGGTGAAAGGATAACCTGTACTTATCAGTTCCCTTTCCAGTTGTTATATTTGTGTTATTTTAATAACCAGGATACATAATTATTACATACAATATATAATCTGTGATTTTTTTTTAGTCACTCACTGGTTTAGAACAAAGACTACCAAGGAGGAAGGAAAGTGTTCAATTCATTAGGCCTTAGTAGAGAAAAGGTATAACAGTCTTGACTGTTCTAAGCAGAGCGGCTGTCCACACATTCTCAGTTCAAACGGTAGTACTTGACAGAGACTGATATGGTCATTCTTCTTCCAAGGAAACAAAGATGCATACCACCCCTCCTATACCATTAACGGTAATGCTGCTAAGGTCTAACTGATTTTGGTAACAGGATAAAATTCCCCAGGAGGAAATTTCTTCAGGAATCTGAACATAGCCTGAAATGTTTTCATTATGACCAGCTGGAATGGTTTTATTGCAATCTGTTCAAACATGACCAAATAGTACTTATTCCAAATAGGAATTCAAGGTTGGTTTGATATCAGCAAATCAAGCATAGTATTTTATTACATTCACAGAATAAAGGAGAAAAAGCATATTAATATATCACTAGGTTCTAAAAGAGCACCTGATAAATCCAACAGCCATTTCTAATAAGATTCTAAATAAAATGAGAATAAGAAAAATATATATGTATATGTGATAAAGATTTTACCAATACTAAAAAGCAATCATTAAACTAAATAGTAAAATACTGAATCTATTTCCATTAAAATCATAAACTATTACAATTATTATTTAATATTATTTTGAAGATTGTAGCTAATACAATACAGTAAGAATATGAAAATAAAACTATAAATATTAGAAAACAAAACAAAAAGTCTTTTAGTAAAAGATTATATAACTGTATTTCCCTACCACCACTTCCTAAGTCCTAAGAGAATGTAGAGTTTCTAGAAAAAGAAAATGCTATAATTAATAATAGAAAGTGCTATGGTGGTTGAAAACCAGAGAAAAGGCATATTAATCAATAGCTTCTCTTTATATAAGCATTAAACAAATTAAGGGGAAAATGAGGACATCAACATTAAAATCAAAACCATTAAAAGCTCTCCAGGACATATGACTCAGTTTCTTCAATGAATAAATTAGAAAAAAATGTGGAGGAGAAAAATGCAGATTAAAAGAGACTTAAGAAATAACAACCAGTTATAATGTAAGATCTCTTGGATTCTAATTGGGGGGAAAAAACTATTGAGGTGTGGGGAGTGAGGAGAATAGGAGAATCATAGTTCCACTTTTGCACTTCTGTTTAGGATATGAAAATCTGCAAGAAAATGTCACTCCCAGTAATACTAAAAGGCCAAGAAACCTACAAAATCATAACTTTTCTTGAACTCAGTAGAGATCCAAAATCACAAGGCAATAAAGTAAAGTGAATTACAGAGTGACGAGGCCCTCCAAAGAGAGACAAGACACAGAACATCTCACTTTTGGCAGAACACAGGAGAAAGATGATGCTTCCATGTAAGTGAATAATAACAGGTCCCTGGCTGCTCACAAGAAAGACTGGAAACAAAGAGGTAGACTTGCTGGTACTGGCATGCGAGAGATGATCAGCTGCTGCTGAAGACAAGCATGAAGCCCTTCCAGTTCCCCAATCCTTCCTTTCATAGGACACAAAAGTCTTAAACTCCTGAATGTACGAGCTGTAAACCTTCTCATCCTAAGGGCTCCAGCAAAGACCCACTGCTAATGGAGTAGGGTTGAAGTAAAAACCTCTGCTCCTGGAGAAAGGGTAGGAAACCTTCTTGGGCCCAGAATTCCACACCTATACTAGGCAGAGGTACTGGAGAAAGGTCCAGTACCTGGTGAAAAAAATCTGTTTTGTATCACAGATATGCAGTAACTGCTGGAAGCTATGCATGAAACAGAAACACTGAAATATCCCCTCTAGCACCCCATTCTTGCTTTCAGCACACAGTAAAAAATATCCCCCTTCTGAAAGAATCTGAAGGCCATGGTACACTAAAAATTTTAACAGAAACAATAAAATCCAAATCCAGCTCAACTCCTGACTAGATTAACATAACTTTGCACATTAATGGCCTGATAGAGGAAGTGGTGTGCCCATTTCTGTGTATAAATATTATTTGCCCAAGTTTCTACTGTTTTTATATACATACTGCCCAGCATTCAATGAAAAACTGAACAAAAAGCAAGAAGGAGTAAATCACTGCTTTACAAAGAGATAAAGCAATCAAGAGAACCAGGAACTAAGATGAACCAGATATTGGGACAATCAGACAGGGAGTTTAAAATAACTATGTTTAATATGTTAAATAATCTAATGAAAAAGATAAACACATATGAATATATATATAAACAACACATATAAAAAAAATCTCTTCAGAGAGATGAAAAATTATTTTTTAAAACTCAAAGAGAAATGCTATTAATAAAACCACAGTATCAGAGATGAAGAATTCCTTCAGGAGGCTCATCAATAGATTGGCCACAGCTAAGGGAAAAAATCAATGACTTAAAGATATGCCAATGGAGATTATCCAAATTCAAACATAAAAGGAAAAAAGTAAACAAAACTAAACAGTGGATGTAAGAGATCTAAAACAACATATGGTCACAATTCATCTAACATATGTGTAGTTAAAGTTCCAGAAGGAGGAGAAGAGAAGAATGGAAAAAAAAATATCTGAAAAGATAATGGCTGAGAATTTTCTAAAATTAATTCAAGACAACAAACAAGAATCCTAGAGATCCCCAAAGAGGGTTTAAAAAAAAAATACACATATTAGACATATTATAATTACACAAAATAGACATATTATAATTAAACTGTCGAAAACAAAAGATAAAAAGAAAATATTGAAGGCAGCCAGAGGCTGGGGTTGGGAAAACTTTGATAAAGAGAAACAGGAATTAGAGCCCACTTCTTGGAAACTAAGCAAGCTGGAAGACAATGAAGTGACATCTTGAAAATACTGGAAGAAGAAATTATTTTTTAACATTTTAGGCGTGACAATGGTACTGTGGTTATATACTTTTCCCCCTCAATAGCTATTATACTTACAGATTCAGTAGGGACTGCTTCACAACAATCAGGGAGGAGGGCTGCACATGTGGGTAAGGGTAGAGAGAAAGCAAGACTGACCATGAGTTGATGATGGTTGAAACTAAGTGATGAGCACATGGAAATCCAATATGATATTCCCTCTGCTCATGAATTTTTTTAAATTTCCATAACAGAAAATTTTTTAAAGAAATGGAAGGTTTTTTCTAAAAAAAGAAAAAGAAGAAGAAGAAAGAGGAGGTGGAGGAGGAAGGGGAGAAGAAGGAGAAATAGGCAGATGAGATGAGGGTATCTTAGCACACATCCCACTTAGGTATCTTTCTTTCTTTCTTAGTAGTTAGTTAGTCAGTCAGCCAGTTAGTTAGTTATTTGCCTCTAACTCTTNGGGGGAGAAGAAGGAGAAATAGGCAAATGAGATGAGGGTATCTTAGCACACATCCCACTTAGGTATCTTTCTTTTTTTCTTAGTTAGTTAGTCAGTCAGCCAGTTAGTTAGTTATTTGCCTCTAACTCTTCCTCCAGCCATTGACTCCCAGTGGGCTCAAAGGTCTCCAAACCGGAGTCACAGAGTGCTGCAGCCACCCACTCCAGTAACATCAACCCGACAAAGCCTACCAGTGCCAAAGCTCTCTTCTCCACACAGAGAGCACCGTCCCGAGTCCATCAGATTTGAGAAGAATCTCCATCCAGCGGGGGTCTCATATACAGGGACCTTCATTAATTTGGCCACTCTGAAAAATGAAATCCGAGGCAATAGTCAATTCATATACCCCGTTTTCTTTCTTTTCTCAGCCCAAAAAGAAGTCTTTCGGTTCAATCAATCCCATAATTAGATTTCAAAACATAGTGAACAACACTGACAGTGTTTAGGATGTCAAGCCATAAGGTAGAGAATAATAAATAGCCTACTTCAATGGTTCTCAAGTTTGCTTTCCTCATAGTATAGGATATATTAAGTTAATGTAGAAAATAGTCTCACTTTTGTTTCCCTTTTATAAATGTTCCTTTATCTTTATGGTAAGATCCCATTTGGGGACCTCAGAATCTAAATTAAGATGGTATTTGGGTACCGACACTTTGAAATATTGTTTGGCAGTATCTACTAAAGATGAACATACACATATCCTATGAGCCAGCAATTCAACTCCTAGAAATTACTAATGACATGTAATAGACACTGTGGCGAACTGCTCAGCTTCACCCTAAACACACACACACATACTTTAAGCTTTTCAGGACTAGAACACTCATTCTACCTGCTGCTAGGAATGTTGATGGATGACAGCTCACAGACATGGCCCCATTCTCTATGAAAGAGGGATGTCTCGCTTAAAATTGTGCTCACTTTCCTGGGTCAGTCCACATCCAGTGACTGGTGAATGAGAGCTGTGTAAAGGTCCAGCCTCCTTGCCTCTAACTGGCACAACTTTGTAGGACCATTTCAGCTTCAGAGCTCCCCACAGGTTGGCTGAGGCCTTTGTTGTGACTGCATCACAGTCCAAATTCTCTCTCTGACCAATCCTCCTTTCTCACTCCCCCACAGGCGCTGATCTTGAACGCAACTTTGGTACTTTGGTCTTGAAGGCAGAAAGTAATAAACTTCCTGTAAGCAAAATCTCTCTCATCGCTGCTTCTGGGGAAGCACACTGTGTGACATTACTTGACAGAATGTGTACACAAGATTTTACAAAAATTATCATAGAATCACAACTCATAATAACTGAAACAACCCAAAATGTCCATTAAAGTAGAATGGAAAAATAATTTGCAATACATAATACAATACCATAAATTCCACTGAACGAACTATTCCTACATGCAACAACTTAAATAAATCTCACAAACATAATATTGAGTAAAATAAACCAATAACAAACGAATATATACTGTATTGTTTCATTTAGATAAAATTCAAAAACAGCTAAAACTAATCAATGCTATCAAAATTCAGGCTTAGAAGATCAAAGAGGTCAAGTGTTTTATTCAGGTCTCACAGAGGTAAAAGGCAAAGCTAGAATGTGGACTCAGATCTGCTTAGTCTCTGCTCATGTTCTACTTCCCTACATCATGCCGTCTTCCCAAATGTCTTATTGCTTCTAGAGGTACATAGATCTCAAAGCATGTTGGGGGATGAACTGGTACCACAGACATTGTCCTGAAGAGCTTTACCTTTCCTGCATGCAAGCGCCCAAAAAATAGACACCAAATGCCTGCCACCAGCAAGGTTCAGTTCTTTGAAGGCCATAAGTATAGAAGATGGCCATGGAGAGGAACCAGTGAAGGTGTCTTGGTGAAAAAGAGGAAGAAAGATGCACATAGGACAAAGAACACAATGTAACAATGCTTTCTTGAAGTGTGCTTGGTGCCAGCTAGAAGAAAAAAATATATAGCTAGAAACTCTTGACACAGGTAAGTAAACATCTCCCTTTCCATAAAACCCAAATATAATTAATGTTCTCAGGATCTTGAAAAAAATATGGGCTAAGTCTCAAATTTTCTTTGAAAACAAGCACCTTTTAGATGTTCGGGTGTTACATCAAAGGGTCTGTTTTCACTTTCTTTCAGTCAGTGGTCTAAGAAAGAGACAATTGTGCTTATATCCTTGTAGGGACACTGAAACAAATCCTCCCCAAACTGTAGAGCAAAGGTAACATTTCAGAGCCATTAATTTCATGGTCAGAAGCTCAAGGAGGGAGGAATAATTCACACAGAAGCTTTCCAAGGGCAGCACATAGGAAAGCCTGGGTTGAAATTAATTTAGCAAATATGAATGCATATGACTACCAAATAGGAAATGGGGCAGAGGTGAGTGTAGAGGGTGTGGGGATGTATATTCTCTGGCCAAAACGCTCATGTAGATTCAAAGCCAAGTTGGCAGATCTGAAGGGAGGGGAAAGGATTTCCCCAGCTCCTACCCTTCCTCATGAATCACTGTCAGGAGGTCATCAGGTTGAAGGATGGGGTTGGATTTTAAAGGACCTGATACTTTTATAACTATGAGCCACAGTTGGAGCTATGCAAGCTAAGATAACAACATGGGTAGTTAAATTTCAGGATCTTGAGCACAAGTTGATTGCGTCCTAGAGTCAGAAAGGAATTCCTCTCCCTCCTCCTTCTACTGAACTTGGGATCCATCCCAAACAGCATTCAGCAGATACCATTCTCTGGACTGGATTTTGGCAGGAGGCCACTAGGGAGTCTCTGAGACCCGCTGCTACAAAAGTTCAAAATAAAATTGCTCATGCTGAGGGTCTGCACCCCTCTCCTTGACTGCTGCCACGGAGTTTTGGAGACAAACATAAGAACTCACTTTCTAGGAAAGACTAGAGTATGAAGGAAAAGAAAAAGAAAAAAATGAATTTGGGCCACAATCCTCCTGCAAGAGGGAGTGAGCCCTGGTAGCCACCCCCCAAAAAAGTAGACATAAGTTCCTCAGTATGGATTTTAAAACTTCAAAAAATGTGGCTTCAGGTTGGAAATAGCCTTAACCTATCTTTCTAGCAATTTCTCGCATAATAATACTCCCTACATTCTTCCGAAAAACTGGACCATCTCTTATTTTTCAAATATGCTCTTCTTCTTCTTTTTTTTTTTTTCTGTTTAGGTCTGAGTCCATCTTCATCCTTTTTATTTTATCTGGATGAAACCTCCTTTCCAACCTCTACCAAAAGACTTCACATGCCATCGAGGCCTATCTTAAATGCCCGCTGTCACGGAGCCTGTGGCAAGGGCTGCGGGGTCCGCAGGTCCCCTCCTCCTAGACGCACACTGGGCTGGACGTGCGCACCTCCCTCCCAGCCAGAGGTGGCCACAGGTGCAAGGAGGTCCAGCCAGTGCGACCCGAATGGAACTGACACACCCCCCTTCAGATCTGGCTGTNTTATCTGGATGAAGCCTCCTTTCCAACCTCTACCAAAAGACTTCACATGCCATCGAGGCCTATCTTAAATGCCCGCTGTCACGGAGCCTGTGGCAAGGGCTGCGGGGTCCGCAGGTCCCCTCCTCCTAGACGCACACTGGGCTGGACGTGCGCACCTCCCTCCCAGCCAGAGGTGGCCACAGGTGCAAGGAGGTCCAGCCAGTGCGACCCGAATGGAACTGACACACCCCCCTTCAGATCTGGCTGTTGAAACCTTCTGTCCACCACGCTCTTCCTCCTTCTGCCAGCTTCATGTGGACAAGCCCGGCAACTCTAGAAGCTACGTGCTGAGGATGGTGGACCCCAGGATGGGAGAGTCTGAACATCTAAATTAATATTTCAAGCACAGTGAATTACCAATCAAAAGCACCCATTTTTAACTTCTGATGGCTGAGTTTTTCACTTTTGCTGTGTTTGATCCATTATATATTTTGGGATTAGTTTTGTCCATTATCTTAACTAAAACAACCCTTGTCTTATCGCCACAATCAGTCCAAACTAACCCTTCCTGGTCAGCAAAGGGCAGCCCTTGGCATTTAGGCTAGACAACAGGAGGACTTCCCCCGGAAGGCTGGGAAAGTCCATGAACTTTGAGAGGACACCTGCACATCCCTCAGCATGGTGCCTGCCACAGAGCTGGTATCCTCCTGGGACACAGTTTTTCCCAGGAGAAGTTCTTCTTAGGCTTGGCCACATTCTCTCCCCCAGAGGGTCGTGAACCTGCACTGGGCATCAACAGATGCTTTCATTGATATTAAAAAGCATAAATTAGCACCAAAACACACAAAACAAAACAAAACACAAACTAACCCTTCCTGCCACTGTGCTTCCTCTAACTTGGATGGGTCTTTATGTTCACACTGTCATTATCTGTATTGCTACCTCTTTTACACTTTGCTTCAACACACAGACACCACCACCACACCAGTGTGTGAGAAATTCTTTGAGGTAGGGATGACATCTTATATACCTTTATAGCTATTCAATGTCTAGAATAATATAGCATCAGTCAGACTTGACCTCTATATATTCTGTATGATTTCATTAATACCTACTATTTAAGGTGTGTTGTTGGATAGCAGAAGGGAAAGTATCTCTATTTTATGGTCTTTTTCCTTATAGTTTCACAATATATACAAATAGCAAATCATCACGTACACTTTACAGATATTACAATTTTATTTGTCAATTATATCTCAATAAAGATGGAAAGAAACAGCTAACCACTGGTGACAGAGGTCAGGACAGTGGCTGTCTCTGGGAAGGAGGCAGGAAGTAGTGGTTGCAATGGTGAACAAGGAACCTCGGGGGTGCTGTTCTGTTTCTTGCTCTAATCCAGGGGTGGGAAATATTTTTTCTGCCAAGGGCAATTTGGATATTTATAACATCATTCTCAGATCATACAAAATTATCAATTTAAAAATTAGCTATGAAAAAAGCTCCTAGATTTATTGAAATTTGAGCCCCACCTGTGGTTGCCTTGGCAGGGCCAGATCAAATGATTTCGAGGGCAGGATGTTCCCCACCCCTGATTTAGATGGTAATTACATGGGTGTGTTCACTTTGTGAAAAGTCTTTGAGCAATGTATGAGTTGTGCCTTTTCTTTATATGCATTGTACTTCAGTTAAACATTTATATAAAAGAAAAAGCCCTCTGTGGTATTTAAGACCAAGTAAATGTTTGAATTAGTCATGTTTATATAATTTCAAGAAATAAACTACTGAAAATGGAGTTTAATAGCATTCTGGATATGTTGGCTAATGTCTGGCAGACATGTAACAAAACTATCCTCAAATTCTTCCTCCAGTATT